CGCTGACCCAGCCTGCAACCAGCACCATACCCGGGTCTGCAGCAAAGGCGCTTGGTGGAGGTAGGGAACTCTCTGCACTCTGCCATCATTGGCCGTTAGGAGCTGCTGGTGGTGAGGCATGGCTGCCTGAGGGGCGCTCCTAGCAATAAGTTCCTTCCCGCTCTCCCCCCCCCATTTTGCATGTTTTAAAATAGGCCTAAATTTGAGGGGAGGCGCTTAATTTCACCTTATGCCTAGAAAACATGCTGGGACTTCCTATTGGGGGGAGCATATTGTTGGAGAAACACAGTAGCTGAAATAATATATTATGATTTGAAGATAAAGACTTAATTCCAGTCTATTTGTTCTCAACTTCTATATTCCTTCTGTATACATATAAACCATTTTTTCAAACATTCTGCCACAATGTCTAAGATCAAAAAACCGAAGCCCAAACTAGTGCCAAAGACAGTCTCTTCCATATGCAACTGAGTGCCACTTATTTTCCAATGAGGATTTTGAAAAACATTCTGACATAAGCCAAATTTGTTCATCATTTGGGTACTCCAGCTTTCATAAATATGAATGTATGTTGGGCAATTTTCCTTCCACATGTGCTTTTCCCATCATAATGGGTGTTTTTTAATGTATATCTAATAGGTATATCAAAGAGAGGTGGGGTTGGATTTCTGTGATCATTTTAGTTCCAAGGGAGTGTCCTTTGATTCTGTTATTGCCTACCTTTTCCCCTAGGTAGCAACTTTGTGCTTAATTAAACAGTATTTCTAATAACACATAGCTAAATTAACTATATTACAAAGTTGCATATTTATATTAGAGATTATTTCTAAATCACCTGTTGGTCCTCTAATTTAGATCTCCCCTTATTTTTTCAGATACTTAACGCTTCAAAAAGACTCCCTACATCAGGAGGACCAGCCTAAACCATATTCTACACAGTGGCAGCAGATGTTTGTTAAATATTTTCTATGACATAATTAATGGAGCTCAGAAAATTAGTGGTGGGTGGTAGACACTAAAAAGTGTTTCACAAATTACTTTATGAGACTATTCCATTTAGAAATTCCATTTTCAATTCATTTCCCATAACTACTAATATAACATAAAAATGTAAAACCTTTTAAAAAGTACTTCATATGCATGGCAAATTCCTTTCTTAAAATTATCCAATAAATGCAAAAGATACTTCTGAAAATTCCTAAACAGTGAAGGATTACATAGCACCATAGCACATAGCTCACCTTTTACTATATCAATTAACTTTAGCATATATTTAGAATACTAATATTCACTTTTAATATTTTTGTAGCATTTAGTATACATTTTTTACTTCTCTTATTAGTGGACAAATTAATTGTATCTGAACCTTAATATGTGGTTTTCACATAATTGTAAATGTGCTATTTATAATGTAAAAGTAAATTATGGGTGTAACCTGATTTTACAAAGTTTTCAAATGTGAACAAATTTTTTTGGTATATTTACATGCCTTATGGCAAAAAACTAGTGAAATAGGACTGTGAAATAATTTTGACTTGGACTTCTACGTACTAATTTTGTATGCCATTATTTATCTGACGTTAGCCCAGGTAAAGCAAATAATTTAACCATAGTCCAGGAGGATCACTAAATATATATTTTTTACTTTTTTATGTTTTGATGGACTGATTCTTCTAATGAAACTTTAATATTAAAACACCTTTTTCTTTTGGATTCATTATTATCTCTGCTACAGTTTCACATAAACTGCCAGGCAATTAAATATTGATATTACGTAAGTGATATCCTTGTAACTTCTTATAATAATAGAACTTCTGCAGTAAATAAGATTGAAAAGTAAATGATCTTAGGCTTACAGTTTAATCATTACTGCTTGTAACTGCTTTACCAAAAACTTTGTTACATTTATTTCTTAATAAATATTTACTCTGCTTACGAAAGATGATTAACTGAGGCAGTGTGTAAGAAAATTGTTCTTAGTCTGCTGCATAATTTAAAGATATTCTTTCAGAAAAAATAAATACTTTTCAAACTGACATAGGAAATATTTGAAATATTTTTCAAACTGACATAGGAAATATTTGAATCCTTGAGGGTTCACTACAATAGCTATAGTATATGTGCTTGTATATTTTAGGTGGTGATTGGTTGTAACTTGATTTTTTGAAAAAAAAAAATAGAGATAAATGCAGTGCATTTTTATTATGTGAAATCCAAGATAGTAAGGACTACATAATTTGAGTGTGTACGTAGTGCTTTATCAGGTATTTCTGTGGACTTGTTCTCTTCTTCTTCAGTCTCTCCATCTATGCATGAAAGATTTCCCATCAGCTGTAACTGCCTTGGTCCCTCCCTATTCCTTGTGTATGCAGGAAATGAGAACACTGTGCTAGAAGGACTATGCCATATACATTTATAATACTTAGGAAACAATCTGTTCATATAGATCAAGGCAAAGTATTATTCTTCATGGAATTAAAATTGTACATTTCTAAATGACAGCAATATATTTTATAAAGCCATAATTTTAAGGATAATTAAGATTATTTTGGGTAAAATAAATTGAATTTTTGTACGACGACTCTATTTTTGAAATGCTGGGATAAGATGATTGCTACGATCAAATTTTGTGTTATGCTACTATATGTTTTTCTTGTTTACATAAGTGTGCCATGGAGACAAGATGAAGGGGACTATTAAAATATGTACCTTTCCTTCTGTGTTAACATTTGCTGCAATAAAATACAGAAGAACGTTTCATGAATTGAGTCATTATTTTTTTAAAAAATACTGGCGTACACTTTAGTGATCAGTCATTAAATCATTATAAAGGTTACAAAAAAACCATTCAGGAGGAAGGAAGAAGGTGAAGCTAGAAACAATTAATGGAAGCACAAATAAAATAAAACAGAATATTAACGGTTACTTCCAGAATGTATGTCTTGAGTTGTATTATACTAAGGACATAACTCAAACTGTTATTTAACATGTTAGGACCATTTGCTTCATATCGACATTGCAGAGGACTTGTGGCATAAAGATAGATTGCATGACAGTCTTTACGGTTACTGCACAGAATTCCTTGCATGTGCTGTAGAACTAAATATAGGTAACTGTTGCTGAATTTATTTCACAAACTATGTCTGTTTTTTTATCTGTGGTATTGTATACCCAGACCTCTCTGAGGAATTTGGATGGTATAGATAGATGGATATAGTCTTTTAGAACTGAATTTATCTTGTCTGTTCACTGATAGGCACCTTAATTTATGTCTTGGATAACAAATGGTGCCTTCCTAACAGGAGTATAATGATCTCCGTAGAACTAAAAGTATTAGGGGAAAAAAAGCAAATCTAAAAAAAGCAAATCTAAACAAATCATACTAAATCCAATTCAGATTAACAGATAATTTGTAAAATTGATTCAACAGAACAGAAAAATTAAGACATTTGATTTGCCTTGTTTTAGTATGATTATCAAGCTGATTTGATTTAGATTCTGGGTTGATTAAGAAAAAGTCATTTCTACATATATGTTGAAATATCAAAAATTGTTAAGATATTTTTTCAGATATATCAGATATATTCAGATAATTTAAACAAACTCACTGACTTGTTTTATAAATGTGACTTGTATGAACATTTCATTAGTATCAATGAAATACTGAATATGTGAATAGCAAATGCACTTTTATATAGGAAACTTATCAAGACTGGGATTCCATCTGAAAAGGAAACTTAATTTAATTTCAAACTTTGTTTTCAGACGTGTGGTGATTCTTGTTGAAAGGATGATGGTAATTGTATCTTGTGTCTTCACAAAGCCTCAGCCAGCAGTTCATATAGCCAGCAGTTCATATAGCCAGCAGTAGTATTCAGTAGTATGCTTTAACATGGGCAAAAGCTTTTTCCACTTATTGGTGTTACCAGGGGAAGCCTCAGAAATGAGGCAAATCAAATCAATGCAGCCATCTTGATATTAGAAGCTGAGGAAAGCACACTGCTTTTGGAAGCATTTCAAAGGAATGCTTTGCTGAAAGCATCATCAAAGCAAAGCAACCCATTTAAACTTTGCACATCCTTAATTAACGGCACATATATATTTTAATCTGTGCACATTATGGTTACATATTATTTATTTGAAGACAGCATTTTAATAATTCAGTGAATATACACTTGAACTTGCTTTTAAAAAGGATCAGAATGATAAGAAATCTGTTTACCTATTCCAGGACATGGTGAAAAAGAAACTCTTCAAAAAGAAAAAGGTAAGCAATTGAAAATATGGACAGTTCAAAAATCTAAAATTCCTATATTGGTAAGGACATATTTGGAATAGTCTAATTAATTTGGAGGGGGGAGGTTGGTTGGTTGGGGCAGACTTTGACATCTACAGTCAGACAGGGTCAAGTAATGATCATGTTTAAAAATACTTTGGATATCATTCTAGGATTTGGGAGGAAAATGTTTTATCTATATGGACTGCATAGTTACAGATTTCATGTTCTCAATTGGAAATGGCACTTAGGCAAATCCTAGGACTTCTCTTGTGCCTAATATATCATTTAGACTTCTTGATTTCCAAACTTTTTGTTTAAGAGATATATCCTTTTTCACATTTCTTCCACAAAATAAATCCTCAAAAGATGATAATAGTTTAAAAGCTTGGCCTACCAGATGCCTACTATGCATCACAAGCCTTGGCATTTGAAATTTGGAAGCATTCTGTTCTCATGCTTAAAGACAGAAACCTTCAAGTTTCTGAAGTGACCTATCACTAAATACATATTGCTGAAGATTTCCAGTTTTCTTACTGATCTCATGCTGAATGAGTTGAGACAGCTACATTTTCAATTTGAAATAAAATGGGTAAGGCATGAAAAATTTTGCTTTAGCTGGCAGTATTGATACCTTTTAATTTATTATTATAACATGGTATTTGAAGAGAAATATAGCAAGAAAAAAGGCTACTACTAAGTAAACTATTCCAGTGAAATAAGAAATGGTGTGTAGAGGTTGCTATCTTCAGATAACAATTTATTGATTTTGATATGTATTGTAAGAATTACACCATAATATATGCATTGTTTAAAAATGACTCAAAATAACTGAATTGTGCAAGCATAAAATGCCCCCACTTTGCTACCTATTGAAGCAGCCCAGCCTTTTTTTAGATTTCTACATGAACTTGCAAAAAAAAGAAAAAAGAAATTAATCTTTATGAATAGATTCCTGAAAGTGGATACATTTTTTTTGTAGTCATACACAAGACAGGTTACTTTAATGGACCATTGAGACATTTTGTTTGTACCAGATCCAATCATTTCTTCTGAATCCTCTTCAAAATACACTGGGATATTATATAGTGCTGGCCAATGTAGATATCTGTCATTTTTTCCTTGTTGTCCATATGATAGAATGTGAACTCAATGTCCTGGGTGTTCTTGGAAGCAATCTATGAAAATAGACCTCTCAAGTCTTTAAAAATGACGTCAAATCATGCTATTCTTTTCTTTTCATTCATTTGCCTACACAGTCGATCTTATTGAGCTAAAATGCTGTAATATTCAAAATACTGAAATATAGATGTGTTTAAATATTAAGAATGGAAGGACTAGTAATACTGCTACATAGGTAGATAACTCCTACAAATACAGTTTACAGTTCTGACAGATGACAAATATGTATGGGAAATAGCTTACAGTAACTGTAAGTATTTCAATTGACAAATTGGTTTAACAGTGGTTTTGGAGTTCTGGTTAAAAATATCTACTATTTGTCTTATCAGCCATAGTTGTCTTGAATTCCATAACTGTAAGGTCCTTGGGTTTTTTTGTTTGTTCTAGATTAATTTTCCCCATACAAAAGTGTTGGAACAGTCCCTCCCTCAAATATACTATCCTTATTTGTTGATGTTATCTTTTCAATGTTAATATTGGCAATAGAAACTCAGGACCAGTTTTATCCCCAAGGACCCCTCCAAAGGACTGAAAAAGATACTGTACACAGAAAATGGCCATATTAAATTCATTGATTTAGATTTCATTATATCAAATTTATTTTTTGTCTTCATTTCACTGCTTGGAGGAAAGGGATTTCTTACTAATTTATATTTTATGCTCATGTTGATCCCCTATGTGTATAGTGAAACTAATAAAAGCTATAGCTCTGCTACTTATCATATTTGGAATGGTAAAAACCAGAGAGGATAATGGGACTGGCAGAAAGGTGGGAAAGAGATCTTTGGAAATACAATAGTGTGGGGCAGGTTTGGGATAAGAAAGGAGAAGGCAGAGAAAATGGAAAACAGAAGCTGATACCAAGATGCAGTTTTTAGTTTGCAAATTATGGATGTAAAATGTATATTTCCTTCCAATGGAAAACTGTGATTTATTATACCAAAGCTCCTGAGTTGCCATGAAATAATCTCCAGTATTACTGAATTTGGTGGAAATTTTGTGGGTTTTTTATGCTCTTTCATAGTAAAAAAGAAGAAACCAAAATTGCTCAATAAATTTGATAAAAGTATTAAAGCTGAACTTGATGCTGCAGAAAAGCTACGCAAAAAGGTAAAATTTAGTTTGCAAAATTAAAACTGTGTGTGTGTGTTCCATGTATCATTGCTAAATTAATTGCTAGTAAACTTCCTCTGGGGAAAAAAAGAGTGTGTGAGTAGGCATTGGCTTAGCAGAAATGTTTTAATATTTCTGAACATGCCAGTAATTGATATACAACCAGACTTGTCTTTGGAATGATATTCATTAGAAATTAGAAATTAACACAAGCCATTTGTCATAATCTCTTTCAGATAAAGAAGATGATAAATTTTTATGATAAATGGTTCATGTTAATTTCTTAACATAGTGATCAGAAATTATTCAAAGTTATCCCCTCTTAAATAATTATATTTTAAATACCCATCAAGGCCTCTTTAATTTTTCCTAGGACATTAATTTTAAACCCAGGAAGTATAGAATTTTGTTTTCTTCCCTGAATTTATACCATTTATATTTCTTTAGTGATATTTTAATAATGGATTTACAAAATGTCATTGTATCTGTTCTTAATATTGTATATTATATCTTAAGTACAAAATATTCCACGACACTTCCCTGACACTGTACATTCCCAACTATATGTGCTGGGTTTCAATATTTGTATTTCCTTGTTTGGGCCTTTTGAGAGTCAGCATCAAACATATCTGGAGTGCATTCTTACTTAAATAATAATTGTAAGGATTTCTCTTCTTTATTTATAGCATAACTCTGTCTGACTTTCAGGGGAAAACAGAAGAAGCTTTAAAGGCATTTGAAGCTTTGGTAAGCAAGTATCCCCAAAGTCCACGAGCAAGATATGGAAAAGCCCAGGTAAAAATTAAACAAGAAATTAAAAAGTTGTGCATGGAAAATCAAACTGTGGTATATCTCATTATAGATTTTTTGCTGGTTGCAAATAAAGTAAAGTAAGTAAAGAATTGATATTAGGAAATAAAGAATTGCAATAGGGAACAGCTTCTAATTTCATAATCTATCACTTATTTTATTCTTTAAAATACAGTAGTACCTTGGTACTCATTGTTAATTGGTTCCAAGAGGGGTGATGAGCACCAAAATTAATAAGTACCAAACAAAATTTTCCCATAAAGAATAATGTAGTGAGTCACAAGGTAGCTGACACCGACAAGTTCTAGCTTGTGCGTTGAATACTAAACAAACAATGAGTACCAGGATAAAACTTTTACATCAAAATGCCCTGAGTACCAAATTTGAGGAGTTCCAAAGCAATTGTGTACCAAGCTACCAACTGTATAAGGGGTGGGGGATGTAATATTATCTCATAGGTTAATAGTGATAGACTAAGGCTACATTAGTTTGTTGTAACTAAGTTAATTGGACTTTGACAAATTCCTCTGAACTGAGAATATTTTCCTTTATTTGTCTCTATTTATAAGTACAGTAATCAGAAAATTATATGGATCAGAATTGGCAAAAACAAAACCCCAAGGGCAGAACACAGTGATTCCATAATTATGGAATTTAATGGCCAATGTAGCATAGCATGAAAAGGACCCTGGCGGGAATGATCACCTTTAATAAAGAGTGAATGATTTTTCTCAATGTTATTTGTTTTTCATTTTGTCATATTGAAAATTCCAATTTGCTATTAACTTTTGTATGGATTTAGAAGAAAGCCCACGTTTTCAGGATTGGTGAGCACAGGTAGTGCTGTTTCTGCATGTTACAAACCTCTGGATTTCTAAGGGAAAACATGGAAAGTTCCCTTATGGATTCTTTATAGTGGAGAATTGCCATTTCATTATTTTGTGGATGACAATAGCAATAGCAATGCACTTAGACTGCTTATATACTACTTATATACTGCTTCATAGTGCTTTTACAGCCCTCTCTAAGCAGTTTACAGAGTCAGCATATTACCTCCAACAATCTGGTTCCTCATTTTACTGACCTTGGAAGGATGAGTCAACCTTGAGCCGGTGAGAATCAAACTGCTGGCAAAACTGCATTCTAACCAATGCGCACCAAGTAGAAAAAGTTTTAAAGGCATTTGAAGCTGAATTGTCCTATTTCAGTGCGAGAGAGTATTTGATAGCTGGCCATATCCGACAATGTTGCAGTTATGACAGTGATGACAAAATTTAGATTTTTGGATCTAAATAATCGAAATTAAGATGTTTCTTTCATGGCATTGGAATTATCATTTAAATTTATCCTAATAATATTGGCTAAACACAGACAAGGTATTAATTTGGGTTTAGTACTATATCTTTTATCTGCTGATATTGCACTGAGTGAATGGAACTAATACCCATTTAAGTCAGCCCCAAAGATCAGAGAAAGAGAGATACATTTGGAGGTTCAGATAACTTAAGTGCAAAGAGTTGAGTATAAATTATAAATATCAAGGGCCCAAGTTACATAGATGATGTGGAGGGGGAAAAAGAATTCCTTATATAACCCTGGACAAGGTTTCCCTGTGCTGTAGAAATTGAATGGTTAACTACATAATAATTTTTAAAAGCAGGTCCATTTTGATCCTACATCATCAGCTTTCAGACTTCCCCTGAAAGAAGGGAACAGGTGATATAATTTAACACTTCCTTACATGAGTTGAAGAGGCTAGCTAGCTCATGCCTTTCCTCTTCTGAACGCCTTGAGCTTCTCACATTACAAGGGATTAAGACCTGGTATTTGCTCTCCTACCCTTCTCAGTTGATGTAATCCTAAAATGACAGTACATTCCCTAAACCTACAGTCTGAAATTATCGGGCGAAACTGTACAGGTAGTCCTAAATTTATGACCAGTTGTTTAACAACTGTTCAAAGTTATGAAGGCACTGAAAAAAGTGCCTTACAATCAGTTTTCACACTTACAACTGTTGCAGTATTCCTGCAGTGACATAATCATGATTTGGGCATTTAGCAACTAGCATATATTTATAATGATTGTAGAGTCCTGGAGTCATATGGTCACCATTTGTGACTTCCTAGGGATGTTCTGACAAGTAAACTCAATGGAAGAAGCTGGATTTGCTTAATGACTATGTAATTTGCATAATGATTCCAACAATTGTATCTCACCTAATACACACATCGCGTAACAACAGAAGTTCCAATCCCAATTGTGGTCGTAAGTCAAAAATTACCTGTGCTGTGTAACTTCTTTAAGGACATCAGTCTAAAAACCCACAAAAGAATATATTTAAATCCTTAAAACTTAGTAGCACTAGTTTAGTATAACTTAGTATAATGCAGACATGATACTATTCAAACTTACAGAATTAATTATGAAGTTACCTATTAAAACACAGTAGTCATTTTAGATGCATTTAGAATTAATCAATGGCTGTTAGATTATAACATTTATTTCAAAATCACCATTATGTGAGCTCTGAAGTTTTGATGTGTAAAAACTGAATATGGCAGATACATAATTCTTGAATACAAAGGGAAGAATGAGACTTCAACTCTGTAACACTGTTATATCATCAAAAACTAAGAACTTATTTTGAGAGTTTGACAGTCATATCCAGATATGATAGTGCTTCAAAACAATCATTACATTTTCAATACAGGTCTTTCTTTAGTTGCTTTTTTTCCTGAGATGCCTGTAAAGTGACTTTGAACAAGATGTCTTCCCCTCCTTCCAGCAAAAGGGACATAAGACTGAAAAAACTAAAATCTCTGCTACTATATTTAATCCGTGCTTTAAGTTTGATAGAAAATTCAATACTAATTAATGCTTTATTATCACATACAGAGTGAGGATGATTTGGCTGAGAAAATGAGAAGCAATGATATACTACAGCGGTCTATCACCACCTATGGTGAAGTGGCCAATCTGCCAAATGTCCCTGATGATCTAATAAAGATGGCACTGAAACGGCGGGCAGACAGGCAGCAGTTTCTTGGTAAGTATCTGAAACCATACTTACCAGTGGCTCAAATGTTGAAAAATGTTCTATGTTTTGATATCCAGGAATTCCAATATACATGAAACAAGTATTGAAACAAGTGCTTGGGCAGATCACAATCCAATATAGGTCAAATGAAAGGGACAAAGGAAAAGATCAAGATGGACGTTGAATAATTCAATTTTAAAGGAAAAAGAATTCATTGACAATATGGAAAAAGAATTGGTTTTCTTCTTCAGGAATTTGATATTCTTGTGTAGTTTCCAAGCTCTTAAGCTTATGGGCATCAAGGCAGAATGGAAACCTATTAAATTAATTTGAATACTTTCAAAATACCTCTCAGTCTATTGAATGTTTATTGTAAATCACCTAGAGTCACTTAGGTAAGATGGGTGGTGTATAAATGATAGATGGATGGATGGAAGGGAGGATGAGAGAGAGAGAGAGAATCCTGCAACAAGTATCTATTGAATCTGACAGTGACATTTGAAGAAAATTGCACTGGACAAATTATCATTTAAGTAGCAATTGTTAACTGACTGGTAATTCAGCAGTTTCTAAATTCAGCAATTCCTAAGAGCCTGTTTAGTCTAGTAGTTAAGGTACCAGGCTAGAAACCAGGAGACAGTTCTAGTTTCACCTTAGGTATGAAAGCCAACTGGGTGACTTTGGACCCGTCATTCTCTCTCAGGCCAACTCACCTCACAGGATTGTTGTAGAGAACATAGGAGGAGGAGGGAGTAATCAGGAGGAAGGTGTATTAGATATGTTTGCCATCTTGAGTTAATTATAAAAATAAATGAAATAATAACTAAAACAAAATAAATTGGGTAAAAAATGAAATAATTCAATGAAAACTAATGTTGTTATGAATAAGTAATTAAAATTAAAGGCTTTTATGAGGAGTCAGGTTATAATCCAGTCTTACTTCTTTTTACTGCACAAATGTATAATGTTACCCTCTTTCTGCCTGAGATTTGAAACAAATCTCATTAGTTCCTGAGAAGTATTTGTCCTCTTGAATTTCTTCCTAGGTCTTGTCTTTTTCAAGTAATACCTCAGAATGTCCCAGAGAGTAATTGAAGAAACAGGTTAAGCATATTCAAGTCAGGTAGTCCAATGACGGCAGCATTTTTCCCAGTTGCAGACTTTTGGTAACTGTTCTCACCTTTCCCCCTGAGAACTCATGCTGGGGAAATGATAGGTAGAAAGAAATGCTTTTCTGAATTTGTGGTACAAAAGTGCTACTGCTGCACTCTTGCCGTCTTTGGCAAATGCTGTGGAAATTTGAAGGTGTGCTGAAGCTGCCAGACTGGAGAATCCTTGACTCATGCTGAAAGTCTTCCAGACTGTGTATTGGGAAGGTGGTGGGTAATCCTCACAGCATGTGCTTAAGCCATCCAGAACATAAGTGGCCAATGCATATAGAGAATGCTAAGATGAGCCTTCTCCTGCAGATCAAAGCAATTGGAAGTAATATAAACTGTTTTGTTAAAGTGATTCATGTTACCTCTCACAAAGAGAATCAGGTCACCTGCTTGCAGAAATCTCTTTGTTAAAGTGAATCAAATGCAAGTCTAATGCAAATACACCTGTTTGCTTCCAGTGGCTGAAATTGCAATGTACAGACTTAAAAGCTGAAGTTTTATTGTGCAAAAATATATCATTTGTCATAAAATGCATTTCAACTACTAATCATTTCCAGGAGCATTATATTACATATATAATTTACATTTGAATCATTAAAGGTAGTAATTTTCCTAGTTTTATTCTAAGGTAGTCTATGTAGTTTCAAAGATATAGAAGCAGCAAGCCTTTCATTAAATAGTGTGATAATCATGAATACTGTGGTTAAAATCAGTTTATTTATATCTATAAATGCAGCTGAGAAAAAGGCCAACAATTTGGAACATACATCATTGTCCAAACAGAGAATAGTGAAAATGCTTTGATTGTGCACTAGAGGTCTCTATAACACTAGGCAATGCAAGCATAGTTTTCTAAGGCATGATTTAGAAGTGTAAGTTTTATACATGTTCCAATGTTTAATAGCACATAGTCTGTTTTATTGTTTAAAAATCTTAATTTATTTTGTTAGCAAAGTTCTTGTATTCCAAGTTGCTTCTTCATGTGCATAGCCAAGTGGCTTTTTTTATTGTTTTTCCATTAAATTAGGTCGCATGAGAGGTTCATTAGTTACACTACAGAAACTGGTTGACCAGTTTCCTAATGATACTTCATTCAAGAACAACCTTGGAGTGGGTTATCTTTTAATTGGAGACAACAACAATGCCAAGAAGGTTTACAAGGAGGTGAGCTTCTATTAAATACAGATAAATGATTCCGAAAAAACACTATATATGTGATTGTGCAAGTCTTTATATATAAGAACCATGCATTAAAAATAACCTGGGTGGATTTTAAAAAGCATATAAATAGAAGTAATTGATTAATTGCTGTGCCTATTTATTTTCACAAATCTAAATACATTGTTTTGATATTCTCTAAGGCAGGAGTGTCAAACTTAAGGCCTGCGGGCCGGATCTGGCCCATAGGGTGCTTAGATCTTGCCTGCGGGGCTGCCCTGGAAACAGTGAAGAACCAGCCCACAGTGCCTCTGCCAGCAAAAATGAAGCTTGGAAAGGGCACAGGCAGCTCTCCCGAGGTCTGTTTTCTCTGTCAGAGGGTTGCAGGAAGTTGTAGCTGGAAACAGAGCTTGGGAGCCCATTTTCTCCGGCGGAGTGTTCAGGCCGCCTCTGGCGCCCCTGACACGAGTGATATTGAGCTGGCCACACCCACCCTGGCCACGCCTCCCTGAGGTCAAACGCAACCCTCAATGAAATGGAGTTTGACACCCCTGCTCTAAGGCATTAATGCGCAATGTCTATAAACTCTAAAGTAGGTTTCCCTATTTATATGCTTTTTCAAATTCTAGGTCCTTAATTTTTATTTTTTGTTACTGTTTTCTTCTTCCATTTAGCTAAGGATGACATATTCAGGGCAACATCATAGCTTTCTTTAGTCAATCAAAACCAGCTATATGACAGTACTGGTACAAATAAATTAAGCAAGTTGATAATGAGGATAGCGCTTCTGAACTAATCATGTCTCAATAAAAGAGAATATTTGTAGCTCATTGATGACATGAGGGATCCTTGATGTTTGTTGAGGTTGGTTATTTTCTTGCAGATGTTTCATTACCCAAACAAGGCAATACAGGGGTGTCAAACTGACGGCCCACGGGCTGGGTTCATCACATGCAGACCACTCCCATCCCAGCTCCAGGAAGGAGAAAAAATGCCACGATACATCACATGACAGCACGAGTTTGACACCCGTGAGGTAACATAATCAAAACACTGATGATGTTACCAAATATGGGTAATGAAAAATCTGGAAGGAAATAGCCAAGCTCAGAGAGCACCAAGGACCCCCTCATAGTGATCTCTGTCCGTTGATCTCTCTGTCTGTCTGTCTGTCTATCTATCTGAAAAAAGCAATCTTGCATGGTTATCATGAGATTTTATGAAATTGTATTATTTATTATAATGGCAGCCCTGGCACCATGGCACCTCTGGGTGCCATATTGTTGATCATAGTATACTTCTTCACATCCATGAATTGAAATAAGAAATTGTAGGTCAGCTGCAAACTTACAGAAATATTTTCTGTCATCTTAAAATGCTGTTAACTATTGTTCTGAATAGCTTTAACTAGCAAGATCCTTGGTAAAGACTTGTAATCTGTCAGCTGTTAAAGAGCTGGATGTTAACAGCTTGACTTCAGTGTTCTTCAGCCCTTTAATTATTCAGACCTGTTTTTAAAAAATCTCACTCTTCAAAGAAGAGACTAAGTAGTAAAAATTAAATCAAAGAATTATATGTCTTTAACTGGAAATCAATCTGATGGGAAATGTGCCCTATTTCTGGGAAATGTTGTATGAGATTATCCAGTGTATCACAGCTTGGAGGCAATGTCAAAAAAGGAGTAGCATTTCACCCCCCCCCCTTCCCTTTATATATATTTCTTTTGACTGTCATAGTCTGGAACTGAACACAATACATTAAAGATAGTCTTTGTAAGAAATCAAAGCTGCTTTTGTTTTCAAACAGCAATTGATCTTGTTTTTACTTTTTTCAAGGGCTTCCTCTGTAGTACAAGAAATCTGAAGCATGTTTTCGCTTATTCGGGTTATGCTAGTGCTCTGAAGCATGCATGTAATATCTAATGAAGTCACATGACTTGTTACAAAGAAAATTCCCTTATCAAACAGACATGTGGTATTCTCTGTACTGTTTGGCACCCCACCCTCCATTAAATTCATTGTACAGATATCAAATCCAACATTCAAAATTCTTAAAATGGATCTTAATACATTTCATTTCTATGAGAAATTTCATTTCTATTCCATCTTAGAGGCAAAAAGAAAATGGTATCAAAAGCACTATCTTCCACTGATATTGAATTTTTCTCTTCTTTCTTGTAACATTTCACGTCTGCTGCCAAGTTTGAATTTCTCTGTTTCTACTGGAGAAGGAAGTGATATATAGCAGGGACTTGTACATCATTGACAACACCACTTTCTACTTTTTAAAAATGTATTTATTGAATTTACGGTCTGTCACTTTATTTTTGTATAGAAACTCAAGGTAGCAAACATTGTAGTCCTCCTTCCTATTTTTCTCCAGCAAGAGTTCTTTGAGTTTGATTGGGCTGAGAAAGAGTGACAGGCCCAAGGTCACCCAATGAACACTTATGGGCAGAGTAAACTACAGCCTAGGTCTCCCTGCTCATAGTCCAGAATCTTAACCAGTATACTCATGGTCTGAAATAGAACACCTGGCCCAAAGTTCTCCAAGGGCTGAGTAGGTCTAGATTCTGAATCTCAGCTGCTAATCCCATTCCAGAGTCCATAATGCTACCAGATAAGGATAAGAGAAGATAAAGGACTGACAGAAAAAAATACATTTTTAGGTTTTCTAAAAGGCTGTGCATCGATGTTTTAGAAAGCTACAGAGGTGAAGTCAAAATTATTATTTTTATTGTTCTCTCTTAGGTTCTAAGACTGGCTCCTAATGATGGCTTTGCAAAAGTGCATTATGGATTCATTCTGAAGGCAGAGAACAAGATTGAAGAAAGCATTCCCTATCTGAAAGTAAAATTTACATTAGGACTTTTATCTTTTTCTATTTGAGAAAGCAAAAGAAGTTGTTGCTGAAAAGAGGGCATTCTGGATGTCATGTATTGTATAGGAACAGAAGTGAAATATTTAATAGTAGAGATGTCTTAAAGACCATTGGTGTGTGCTATATATCTCCAGATTCTCAACTTCCAGTAAGCATATAATAGTTTTTCCAGCTTCCTAGCCATTCTGTACAAAAGCTAATTGATACATCCTTTTTTGTGATGATTTTTCTGAAGTAATCCTCTTTATGGTAAAAGAGTAGTTTAATACATGTTGAGTAAAGGGCAATAATAATTTCCACAAAGAAAGAAGACATTTTGCAGGGAATAGCTGGCTGTCTGGCATAGTTTCTTGTAGATCTCAATACACTGATAATGTTAAAAATGAATTTAAAATGACTTAATGGGTAGTTGATGTGGTTTCACCTTTTTTTTTTCTAGGAAGGTCTAGAAACAGGCGATCCTGGCACTGATGATGGGCGCTTTTACTTTCATTTGGGTGATGCCATGCAGCGAGTTGGAAACAAGGAGGTAGGAAATCTACTGAGTTCATTTGAAAAAACAAACTACACCACAGCCACAGAGGGGAGGGGTAACTTAGTCCTAATGGCCAGGAAACTGAAAAAAGAAGATGAACATCCCTATCTCACTGTACAGGAAGTACTTTGATGCCTCTTCAACTGAATGTTTTGGTCAACACTCAGAACTTAACTAGAGGCAATATTGTTAATATCTTTAACATCGGAGTGGCTGTTCTGTGCCTATAACAAGTTTAAATAGCTGGCACAATGGTTTTTGCATACTAGTTTGGATAAGCCTCTGCCTGATACCTCTTCCTTATGCTATATATTTTTTCCTAGTTATTAAAAGTTACAGCTGAACAGAGAAGTAGCATTCCCTCCCCTCCCTTCCTTTTAAGTTATCCCCACCCTATTAAGTTTAGCCCAAAATTTAGCTAAAAGCCATGCTTTTGGTACTAAAACCAGTGGTGGGGGGAATCATGCAAATCTATGAGGCAATGCTATTTCAGAGGGCAGCGATTAAGACATAGAAGGCCTTTTCTGATTTCTGCTAAATAGCATTGCAATAAGTCAGAATGTTACAGAAGGGCAGAAACCTTAGGAGACAGGTGTTCCTTCAAATAATTATTTATCAAAGCTCTAAAAGTGACAGCTTTATTGCATGTAGAATCCAATAGACAACCAGAACAAATCACAAAACACAGACATTATAAATATAATATGGCCTGCACATTATTGTTTGTGCCATTGGAGTTTGGACCATCTGTATCTTCCAAACGGTTTTCAGGGAAAGTCCTATGTAGATTAAAGTCCAACCATAAGTGGGTTAAGGCATAAATGATGATTAAAATGGCATTTTAATCCAGAATAGGGCATCCTTGATGTGCAAGAGAATCTATGCAAAGGCCCTCCTCCTGGCCACTTTCTGCGACCTGCTGTTCAAAGAAGAACTGTGAGTTCAGAAGGACTTGCCGATTTCATGCCAGACTCAACCTGGATTCTGCAATCCCATTAAAAGCCGAAGGAGAAAGATCTTTCATAGCTGGGTCCAAAGATACCTAGCTACTCAGTCTGATTACATTTAAGATCCAGCTTGATCCTCTCCATCCAAATCTTCAGAGCCATCAAGCACTGGGATATGACTTCAGCAGCATCATTTGACCAGCCCACGATTGAGATTTACTGCTGTGTATCATTGATATACTGAGAATATCTGCCCCAAAACTGATAGATGACCAGACTCAACAGCCTTATATAGATGTTAAATGGTGGGAGAAGAGTATTTAATCCTAAGGCTTTCCACAAATCAGTAGCATCCGGCTCAAATTATCTCCTGTTATAAACATGACAAATCAGGCAATCAAGCTGTGTTGATTTGATATATTCATTATTGTTCATTGTGATTTATATTGTATATGTTATTCAATGAATAATCTAGTTTAGAACAAAATTGGGGTTCATGAAATAGATCTTTGGGCAAAACATGCCACTGAATTTGACATTATGAGTCAGTTCTGAATGAACACAAAAAAATTCTGACTATGTTCAAATGCAAGATTTCATCAAAGAAAAAAATCATAAGCGTTTATAATCCCCATTACTGTAAATATATGTTCATTATCTAAGGTTGCAGTCAGGACTAAAAATTAAGCTATTGATGTTTTGAAAGATTAGTTCCAAATGAGTACTTTTACATAACTGGGTAAAGGTTTTCAATTCATTGAATTAATTAAACTGCTCTTAGCTATATAATGCCAAAAGGGGATGCAAGCATTCTTAACTGCAGTTGCGATAAATGTATGCTTCTGGTCTGACTCTTTATTCCAATCTTACCATATGAATAAGAAGGTCTGAAAAAATAGTTTTAAATGCTTTTGAACAAATATCCTAGCAATGTCCTATACAATATAGGACCCTATACCACAAGAGTTCTGAATTCTATGCTTTAAAAAAATACAATGTAATTTTACCTTCAAATTGCCCTGGTAAATTCAAGGAGATCAAAGGTCATAGAGATGAAGTAATGTACCCTTCTTTTCTCCCTTCCATAATTATAGTTAAAATAGGCTTTAAATATAATAAAAATTGGCATAGGAAATAAGCTTCTGCTTATTCACTAGGTGGTGGAAGATGAGGCTTTTCAGAGCCCTTTGCACCGTCTGAAAGAGAGAAGCAGAATTTTGCCTTTTATGCTTGACATTCCAGTTAATACACATGAAAGAGTTCTTACATTTGATGCCAGTCCAGATAACTGTTATTCATTCTTTTGGTTCTGACCACATTATTCAGAACAGAGTATTGCTTGTCTTTGTTTTGTCAGGAAAAGAGGCATAAAAGATATAGAGAGCCCTCAGAAACATTATGAGGCACTGTAGATTGTTGCAAATAAGGAACATTGGGAGATGTGGGTATAGACGTATTGAATAGGACTGAATGAAGAAATCATCTCGCTTTTCATTATTCTTTATTCCAACTAGAATTAGAGGCCACGGTGCAGGGATTTCTCTTTTCTTTTCTCCTGGCTACAATGACAGACATACCAGTTACTCTGAATTTTTCGAGTCCTGTGTTCCTTTGTTTCCCATGCATTTCTGCTGCTTCATGGGTAACAATAGCTTTTATATATGAACATTGATTTATTAAATCAATGCCTCAAAAAGAAAAAGTTCACTCATTTCTAGCTGACTCATACAGTTATATAAATAGTCATTAAATATAATGACAGTTAAAGTGATATTATAAAATTTTGGGAATATGAACTATAGTAATGATTTGGAACTAATTTTGTAAAAAATAACTTTTCTCCAGGCCAGATTAACATTGCTTTCTTATAAATCACAGTAATTTCAAAAATGGATTTAAAATGTATTATGTGGACAAACTATAGAGTGGAGTAAATGTTCTTCTGCTCTAATACACAACATTATAATTTCAATTTTAATAACTAATATTAATATTTGATTACTGTATGAAAAGCAAGTATCATTAGAAAGCCAAAATAATAACTAAATTATTATATTTCTCATTAACTTACTTTTTCTGTTGAAATGCAACAACTGAAAAATATGCTGTTCAATTTCAATCTTCTAGGCATACAAGTGGTATGAACTTGGGTACCAACGGGGCCATTTTGCATCTGTCTGGCAGCGTTCTCTGTATAATGTCAAGGGCTTAAAAGCTCAGCCATGGTGGACAGCAAAGGAAACTGGTTATACAGAACTGATCAAGGTGTGCAATATTGTTCTCCCTTTATTCCATAGAAACATTATGCTAAGTTAATTTCAAAATTGCTACTCTGTATAGTTTATAGTATAGCCCAATGAACACAATGGAACTGTCAGCATCTGATGCTAATATGGCTTCCAAAGCTGACAGGAACGTACTATCCTGGTCTCAATTTTTTATTTCTATTTTTGTTTTGTCTAATTTAATTTCTGCTTAATCTGTGATTTTAAAAAACTAAGAAAATGTGTATATATTGTGTGCATATTTCTCCTTGGATGAATCTCCTTTCCATCTGCCTCCTGCATACATAGTCTAAGCCAGGAGGTCCTCTAAAAAATGTAATTTTGGATGTAAGCGCTTATAAATCCAAACATAGAAGTAGTTTTTTTAAGGGAAAATTACTAATAAAATGTGTTCTGTTTGTTACTTTATGAATGAACCTGGTCAGTTAGCCTGAATCTAGTTCCTATTCACCATCTGGAATAGTCCTTGCAGTTTTGTTGGTGAGGCTTTTTGAAAGTAGTTTGCCATTGCTTCCTTCTAAGAGCTTAGAAAAAGTAGCCCAAGATCACCCAGCTGACTTTGTGCCTAAGGCAGAACTAGAACTCAGTTTCCCAGTTTCCAGTGTGATTCTTAACCATTGCATCAAACTGGCTCTCTTATGCTACATTGCCCAAGATGTAAATAGAAAAGAAAATTACACTTTGATTTAGAATCTAGTTATTAAAATGAGAATAAATAAATTTTTCACTACTGATTTTCTATTCCTGAATAATCATTCAAAATATAAGACTGCCACAGGTTAGACTTCCTTATAACTGATAAAATGTATTTTCCTTCTTCACTAGAAGTTAAATTATTTCATCCTAGTTCAAATTGTTTTACTACAATGTATTAGAAGGATTAGATTGCATAAATATGTTAAGTAGCAAACACAATGAATTACATTGTCGGCCCATGAATTGGATAGACAAAGATAACTACGATAACTCAATAATTCACACTAATTACTAGGATGCAAGCCTTTAATTGCTCAGTGTTCTAATTAGTGAATAACGGGCAATCTATGTTTCCTCGTGCTCTCATAACTCTTAGAGGTTTCAGTGGGACATTTAACTGCATATGGTAGGCAATATTAGACCAGCTGGACAAATGGAGAAATCAGACTAGATTGAAAGAACCCAGCAATATTTGTAGTCCTTGGCGATCAATGAGAAAAGTATTTATGATTACTACACTGCCGTTTCTTAACTACAATTTATTTGCTCTAGTATTAATCTTACATTTAGAATATCATTTGGTGGAAGTTTTATTCTTGAAATACATCTAGGACACGCTTGGAACTCTGGAACTGGTTCTCCCAACTGTATTTGTAACAAAACTATGGTCACATATTTTGGAAAAGAATGCTACATTTATCGCCTTGCAATGCCTAAAGTAGTTTTTTTCTTAATCACTTTCAAAAATGCACTCTCCTAAATAGGAAATTGTAATTCTGAACTTGTAATCCCAAAACACTTTATGAGAACACAGAATTAGGAAAGATGATCAAGGTCAAAATATAGGAGAGACATTATTAATCACATTTTTGTTTTTGTTTAGGTAGTGTTGTGTCCTAATAAAATTAACAAAAGTGTTAGCTTCCATATAGCTCTTCATGCAACAGTGATGATTAAAAACCAAATGATCTGATTTTCATGAGCAAGATATATTTAAAAATTAGGAGAAAATTTTCTTTTATATTAGAAGTCCAGTTCCTTATGGTTCTTAGCTGATACTTTCAACAAATTTCCTTGTGAAAGAAAGTTAAGGAGAACTTAATTTGCACATGCACATTAAATTCCATCTGTATGGGAACTATGATTGTTTTTTTTAAATCTTCCTATTACAGTTAACATAGTGTTAGAGAATACTGCTAGATACAGAAAAACAGATGTGTAGGAATGTTCAGAGATGCTACAAAATAATTGAATCAGGTAGGGCTTGTGTTGAAGGAAACGAAGTCTGACCACAGTTAGCATCTCCATCATTTGGCTTTGACTCAGCTCCAGGCTTTTTCACTTGCTTAATCCTTCAGATTTTGTTTTCTCAATGAGTTCATTTTTGTATTTTGAAGTTGGACTGGATTTACGATCATACAATTTATTACAGCAGCAACTCAGATGTCTTGTGAGGCCTGAATGCTGAATGCTATTTACTGTGGTTCTCCAGCATCTCCATTTAGTCCTCTTAGAATGTTGTTCATGAAAGAAAGAAAAAATCAAAGGCTCCCATTATAGGTTGTTGCATAATAACCTTCTATTTACCACTATTTGTTTCATTTTCTTTTAATAAAAATAGGGGAAAGGTTGATAGTTCTTTGGATTAAATGTTTTGGAAGCTTTAATGCTTGGGTTTAAGCATAATTTGGCACCTATATTGTATCTAATATTTCCATGTAGAAAAAGATGGTAAGACAGAACCAATAGATGTTGGCTTCAGAGCAGTAACCAACAGCTGCTACTGTATGTGAACTCCTCTTAGTCATATTTTGGAAAATCGCCTGGCATTCTGGTAAATTAATCTCTTGTAATTTAAGGGATATGTAAGTCTCTTGTTCTTTTCAGGAAATAGTTATAGGAATAACTTATTTTTCATAAGTATAATTAATTTGCATATCTAATATGGCTAGTGTGTTGCCAAGTTTGCGGATGAAGTGATTTCTCTCTCCAATAGCTGCATATCCATTTTTGTCTACTTATGCAAATATATAAAGATGTTTAGTGGAAACTGAGACGCTGCATTTTCAATAACTATTTGGAAAAGCCTGAGCTTTGAATTCTGTGCTATTTTATGAACAACATAAATATCTACATCCAACCTTATCATTGCAATGCATTAAAATCCCTTGGGAGAGAGAGATATGTGGTAACAGATTCTTTTAAGAAATCTGTCTCCCCTCCTACTTATTCTTCTTGCATAGGATAAGTAACTTTATATTATAAATAGTTTTTACATACCCATTTCCAGGTGTTTCATATGACAAAAATGTATGTATACACAAACAAACATAAAACACAAGGGAATGATTCTCATAAAGACAAAAAATCAATTGAACAAAAGTCTTCCATCATTCCTGAGGACAGTGGTTGAATATGAATTCAATTCAGTTCAAGAGGTATGCAATTTCTATTAATGAAATACAACCCCAGCACCCTTCAGCACTCGCCTCTGTAAGTGATTGCCTACGACTGTTTGCAAATGCTGTTAAGTACTTCCATTTCCCCTGTCACAGATTTACATTAAAATTGCTCAGGTAGGTAGCTTGACTTTCATTCATGTGTTCAAGCAGAGCTTGGAAGGTCCTCTGCTAGATATGCTTCTGTTTGGATTTCTGCAAGAAGCAGAAGGTAGGAAGCCAAAATAGTTTCCTCCAGTTCTATAATTCTACGAGGAAATAAAGGAGTTAGTGTGCATGAGCAGAAATATTCAGATAATATTTTAAAATGTGTATTCCAGTTTGTATTTATTTTATTCTAAAAATATGAAATATAAGATAAAAATCATGACATGGTCTAGTTTAAGCAGTTTAAGCACACTGGAGAGTTTGCTTGCTACCACACTGTCTAGTCTACTCACTATTACTTTTTATCAATTCCAATTCCATTTATTTATTTCTCAGATTCATATAGCTGTCCATCTCACAATAAAGTGACTCTAAGCAGCTTACAATAAAAAGAATTATGAAAACAATTAAAAATCAGCAATATTTTACAATTATTATAACTATCATTTTATGGGCATATTTAGAAACAATGTATTGTGTCTCAACCAATGTTTATGTTCAAAAGATATTTATGAAGCCTATGTATAATCTAGCTTCCTAGAAATAAAGAGGTTTCTGAAAGCTACAACTTAGTTTTAATTGCACCTTAAATTATTTTTAAAAATTAAATGTGGTAGAACCTGGTAATTGCTAAGGAAGATGTTTACAGAAACACAGCTACAGTTGACACTTCACTGTAGTGCCAGATCTATCTTATATGTGCAAACTATATGAAAAAAGAAAAATATAACATACCTGAACAAGTAACATACCTGAGCAATAACAATAAAATAATACAGTGATTGAATAGTATAATTCAGTAGTTACAGCAATTTACTTTTTCAACAACACTGGAAACTTTTTATCTAGCTATGGTGGTGCAGTAGTTAGAATGCAGTACTGCAGGTTAACTCACTGCTCACTCCAGAAGTTTGATCCTGATGGATTCAAGATTGACTAAGCCTTCCATCCTTCTGAAATTGGTAAACTGGGGACCCTGTTTATTGGGGGCAATATTCTGACTGTTAGGGAGGTCTGTAAACACTGTGAAGCGGTATATAAGTCTAAGTACTATTGCTATTGCTACTGCTTTGTATGAATAGCAGCAAAAGCTCCTGCTGCAGCAAATATCTATTTTTCTTAATTGATGTTGTATGTCAGGTACCTAAAATAGCTAATACAATTGGGAGATTGCCTAAGGATCAGAAAATAAAGTTGTGGACTTATTAGAAGAGAATATTTATAACTATCATATTTTGCATGTTAATGCTCTGTAAAATTATTACAATTTTTGAACAAAAAATAATTCTAATAAAAGAGCTTTGTTTTGCTACAAGCAAAAGATGCTATAACAGAATAATAACAAGTTTAATAAAGATGATATTTTCACTAATTTTGAAAAGGCTTTATGCTTCTACTTTAGCTATTTTTAATGCCAAGAAATTTAGGCAAGTTTGTTGTAAGTGCAATCTAAATTAGCAAGTGTATCACTTCATCATTTGCAGTTTTGCTAAAAAGCAACATCAATCTTTCCAATTTTGCAGCATCAAAACTTTATTTTGTAACTTTATATAGTATGTAAAGTGCTCCCATAATCAAATACAATCCACACAATAGGAAATCTTTATCTGAGAAATGTGTCTAGTGATAAAAGAATCTAAACTATTTTATTTGTACCATTTCCATAACTGGTACTTTTTTTTTCTTTCTGTTCCTAGGACATGTTTTTAAAAGGTAGGAATAAAATTAGTCCCCAGATTCTTTACCTTTCTGTCCAATACTTTTTTTTTGTATCAACAACACCATGAGTGGACTGTGTCATTTGTTCCAACAAGTCAGTAATTAGTAATAGCTATTGGTGGATTTAAACAGTCAGCAGGCTGTTGGATAGACTAAATCAGTGATGGCGAACCTTTTCGGCACTGAAAGCCCGAACTGGAACGTGCGTGCATGCACCTGCGTGTGCCGGAGCGCCAGAAACCCAAAGGCCAGTGCGCACATGCCTGTTTTTTTGGTTGGTTTTGGGGCCGTTTTCAGGGTGGTTTGGGGCCGTCTCCATGCAGTTTTTGAGGCTGTTTTCCAGGCCATTTCAGGCTGTTTTTTTCTGGCTGTTTTTGATCCAAAAAACAGCCTGAAAATGGCCTGGAAAAGGCCTCGAAAACAGCCGGAAAAAGGCCCGAAAACAGCCCCAAAATGGGAGTTTTTCAGGCTGTTTTCCGGTGCTCCAGTGTCCTGAAGACCAGCTGGCCAGCACACATGTGCGTGCCAAAAACCAGAAGACCAGCTGGCGATGGAACGCGTGCCCACAGAGAGGGCTTCATGCCACCTCTGGCACATGTGCCACAGGTTTGCCATCACAGGACTAAATCATAATCAGTTGTACCTGGTTCAGTAGTACTAATAGAATAACAAGAGTGGAAGGGATCTTGGAGGTCTTCTAATGTAATTATCTGCTCAAGCAGGAAACTCTATCCCATTTCAGACAAATGGTTATCCAATCTCTTCTTAAATACCTCCAGTGTTGGAGCATTCACAACTTCTGGAGGCAAGTTGTTCCACTGATTAATTGTTCTAACTGTCAGGAAATTTCCTCTTAGTTCTAGGTTGGTTCTCTCCTTCTTTACTTTCCATCCATTGATTCTTGTTCTGCCTTTTCTGCCTTCCCTTCTTCTTTGTGGTAGTCCCTGAGATATGAGAACATTTCTATCATGTCACTCTGAATCTTGCTTTTCGCTCTTATTAAGCTAGAAATACCCAATTCCTGCAACCGTTCTTCATATATGTTTTAACTTCCAGTCCCCTAATCATCTTTGTTGCTGCCTAGGACTGCACTGGCTTTTTTGGTAGCTGCAGCACACTGCTGACTCATATTTAAGTGATTGTTTACTAGGACTCCAAGATCCTTCTCACCATTTTCTGCTATTGAGCTAGGTACCACTCGTTATGATTAAGTCTGTCCATGCAGTTAATAATCTTGTCCATAGTCAGTACTTGACCATGTATTTGATGCTATAAATGAACTTCTCTACCTCCTTTTAGCAAAAATATAGTAAATTTGAGTTCTATAAAGTCCATCTGAATAAGCCCTTCATTAGAGACAACAATTTTGGTTGTTTGAAGACAATGTTAGCTATGAAGAAGTCACTAGAGTGGCATCATTTAGTATGTCAGGATCCTGCTTCATTCCAGTTTCCTGTTAAGTATATTTATTTTGTTTTATCAGTTTCCTAAATAATGCAATCCAACTACTTTTTCCTCTTTTCATGTTTCCAACTTTGCCATTCCAATCACAAATCACAACCAGCATATCTTGCTTGCATGTTCTGTTGATCTCAAATTGGACTTGATCATAAAGTCCTCCTCTTCTTCTGCATCAGCGGTTAGAAGATAAATTTGAATGATTATCATATTATTGGATTGTTCACAAAGTATCCCCCCCCCTTAGATAAATCAAAAGCAAATAAAGTGGAAGCCATTCTGTTAAGTGTTGGATATTGGAATAGCTATGATACAAAGGTAATTGAAAATGAGAAACTATGGGAGGCTTTGTGACTGATGAGACTATATTTATTTTGGGGGAGAAATAACTAAAAGAATATGCAATGTATGTGATATTTTGTCCTTTTAGTCCTTAGAAAAAAACTGGAAGGTGATCAGGGATGAAGGACTTGCTGTAATGGATAGAAGCAAGGGCCTCTTTCTTCCAGAAGATGAAAATTTACGAGAAAAGGGTGACTGGAGCCAGTTTACTCTGTGGCAGCAAGGTACACAATTCATTACTTTTCTTGTCTCTTTTCTTGTTCCCTTTCCATGCTAACAAAAGAAAGTAACTGAAATGTTAAAGGGAAAATATATTTTGTGATGCTAAAGATCAGGATAATGAAAATTGAAGTGACATCCCCCCTACTCTTAACATTATTACTAGGCTCAAGCAAAAACTTTTTTTTTATTTTTACTATTAGTTCATATTCAATTTAAAGAAATATTTTTATTTCTTTAAATTGTGTGAAATAATGTGCTGATACACTTAGCAATGTTTAACTAAAGGGATCTTGTTATGTTTATGTCTATTCCCACTTTTTTAACGACCCACACATGTTGCTTTCAGCAATGCTTCCCTCTGCCTACTGTGCTAAATAAGCGCTCCCAGTGCAGTCCATTAAGAAGGGCAGGGTCTTTTCCCCATCAATCTGGAAGATCTCCGCCTTTCTGCCCTGCATACTCCAGTATCCACCAAGACCAGCTGTCTTGCCCCTGTCAGAATCTGCTTCAGAGGGGGAGGCTGAACAGCTGACAGGAGTGTGGCTGCATTGGCTGTGGAAGAAACTGGGAAAGGGCAAAGTCTGGCTGGGCAGAGCAGGGGAGAGGTAGAGCAAGGGAGAGGGAATTCAGAGGAAGACCCAGGCCCACCCCCTCTTCATCCTAGGACATGCTGGGAGGAATGGAGAAGGGAGCCAAGTGGGTTGCGTGGCTTATGGGGAAAGAAAGGGCCCTGATTCCCTTCATTAGCTGCAGCTGGGAACACAGTGTTTAAAAAGGGAACCTGTGCACAGCAAGCTGTTGGGAGCAAATCGTAAATTTATCTGGTATCATCGTGGCTTATATGTGATCTGGCATCTTCCCAACTGTGAGTTTTTCTATGCTTTCAAGTCTGAAAATATTTCTCCTGCCCTGTCAAGTTAATTACTGCAGCTTGGTTTGTTTGGATTTTTAGTTACGGTCTGTATGTACTTTGTTTTGGACTGAATTTCTTCCAGTTAAAGGCTGTTCCTGGGGGAGTTTTTCTCCAGCCAAAGGTAACCTGGACATTGGGGGCAAAGTTGGAGATGATAAAGGGACTCTTCTTGCTTATTTCACTGTGTTGCCTTTGTGCCACGCCCCAGGTCATCACACCGGCAGCTCCTCCCCCTTTTCCTCATTGGCCTGCGAACTATCCCCAGCCAAGACATGTTCTTCAGGCAGCTCAGGGTCAGCAATACTGAATGTGCAGGAATGCTCTCATTCTCCTTTGAGGCCTCTGAAGAAGACATTGATGGCCCATCATCCACAGGAGACATCCACAGGAGACATTATCTTTTCTTTCAAAACTAATAAAATATGCATAATAGAATAAATATAATGATTTTAACTCTTAATTGTTCTCCATGTAAAAGAGATGGGCTATTACCAAAGCCCCTCTTTCCAAGAAGAGTTTTCCATGACTTTGGAGGATCTAAACATGTGAAACAAAGATTTTAATGGGAAGAGGAAAATGAGAACATTTCTTCCAGGTATGCAAACTCATTCCTGTTCACAGAACAAAAGTTAGGTTCCAACTACATTCAAAGCACATAATACCTATAGAAAAAATGAGACTAAAAACAGCAACTGAACTGACTAAATCAAGTAGAAAAAAAACACATTCATTTTGATAAAACAAAGCGTAATTGAACTATTTTAAGATTGTGAAGAAATTGCCCGACTGGTGGCTACTGACCTACTTAGCTGATTGTGTGACTGGATCTTGATTTATTTTTCTGAAGTTGAATAATCTGCAGCCATGTTTCTGGATTTTGAGAGCTGAACATTGGAGTACTTAATGTTAGAGCTGTGAAACGTTAAATGATTGAGAGAATTATATCAGACTGATCACAAATACAAGAACAGCACCCCTATCCCTAAAGAAGACTGTCTTTTTACTTTCAGGCTTACACCCAAGCCTGAAGAAAAAACATTATTACATTAAGAGTCATAATTCAGAAGAATTTCTTCTAAATTGTTTTTGAAGTGTGCATGGCCATACCTAATATAAGCTAAATAGGTAAAAGTTTGGTCATTGCCTAGCTGAAAATCTGTTCATGAGCCACATGTAAATTATATTTGCTCTTGGAAAGACTCACATAAAAGGAAACTTCCTTTTTTTGAACTTTTTATCAAAGTCTAAATAAAATAAAGGGTTCCACTTGAAAGTAGTAGTGGATTCTTGTTTCATGTTTGAAGAGGAGAGGCAGGGGAGTCAGAAAGAGGACAAAACCAAATGGCTTTGGGGCACTTCCCAGAATTATTTCTGTATTTTTAGTGTGCAACTTTATGTAGCTTTAAAAATATTTAAAATGTGCTCTATTTTTTTTAAAAAGAACTTCATTTCTGCATTTATCTGCAAGATATAGTTTTGCGTTTCTCTAATATAGAAAGCTTATAAGCTTGGTTTACATCTAGCAAAGTGGATGGTGCACAGATTACAAAGTGGCCTGAAGAAATGGGCCCTGGCAAAGAAGAGATATTTACTTCTTACAAGTGAATGCAATTCTGTCATTTATAATTAAAATGAGGAATAAACTTGTATGGGTAATGTTAAAATAGAATGCTGTATAAGACTGTTGGGGTGCTGGAAAATATTAAAATTGCTTTTAATTTCTGTAGTTCTCCTTACAATAAAAACTTTCTTTTAGTTGGTCATAATATTCAGTTTAGAAGACTAATGTTCCACAATTATGAGTCCATCACCACTGTTATAAAAAGACACCGAATTTCACTTATGCTTTTATGAAATCCTTCTTTGGATTTCCTTAGGGAACTGAACATTATCCTCTTTCACAACACCAACCAAGATAAATTAGATGGTAAGAGACCATGGAAGGGAGAGATAACTGGATCAAAGTCACTCAGGAAACTTTGTTGTTATATATAATTATGAATCTAGAATTAGATTTTATGCAATATTCAAATAGCTCTACAATGCTTCCCTGTCAATTCAACAAAAGCTGGAGTATATGACAGAGTATGCAATGAGTTTCTTTGGGATCAGTGAACATGTGTTATAAAATATAATAAATATCCATAGATATGACATATCATATAAAGTAGTAGACCACCTGGTATTAAATCTTTGCCATTTATTTCCAAAGAAAAATTATTTCTAAAGAAAAAATGTTATCTGCCCCTGTTTTAGATGAATGCTAACTGTAATGGGAATTATGAGTTACATTCTGTATAAAAAGAAATACAAAAGTATTCTAGTTCTATACTTAGGTACGAAGACCAATTTGATTAGAGTTAATTAGAGTTTTTTGAATGATTACACTTTTAAATCTCTTTTAAGTGCCTGCTGAGCTGACATTTTCAAATCCCCTGTATGACTATACTTAGATTTGGGGTGTGAAATTCAGATTACCTTTGCTTAAACTATATTTTTCCTCTTTCACTCTAGGAAGAAAAAATGAGAATGCCTGCAACAGTGTTCCAAAATCATGTGCCTTATTAGAACGTTTCTCAGAAGCCACTGGATGCCGAAGAGGGCAGGTACTGTTTGGTTTGTAGAGCAAGTCCATAGATAGATATGAAGAAGCATCTACATATATTGGGCAGCTATCCAATATGAAAGGGCAAAGTGTGATTCAGAGGACACATTGGCCTGCCTATAGCACCTGTTCTGAACATCTTAAAGCAAACAGGTCTTTTCCTGCAATTGCATTTTCACTGCAGAAGACAGCCAACAGAGCTGAGGGACGTCAGCTGCTTTTAGCTGCTACATTTGCAGCCTTGTGTGCCCTGAATCACTGCCCTTCAAATCGCCC